GAGTTAAAGCCGCGGTTACAGCTTCTCTGACGTTATTTCACGTCGCGTCATGGAAAATGTAGCCGCGGTGAGCCAATTAAAATACACGCTCGGATTACGAGACACGAGGTCACGAGGATTTCGAGCATTAGGCAAATGCGCCACGCGGAGGACGCATTGATATTCGTGGCCCCGCGTAAAAACCGGCTGCACACGGACCCGCCGCGCTCCAGCATCCGCGGAACATCCAGCTACGCCCGGTGTTCCTGCTTTTGTTCGCGAATATTATTCGGAACTCGCCCGCGCGGCCGCCTTTTTCCAACGACGCGTCTAATCCTGTGTTTTCACGAGATTACGCGGTGACGGAGTGTCGTTCAACGTCTCGCGCACTGCGAGCGAAGCCCGGAGCGATAAGATATTACGAATTCCCGTTGCTCCGATGCCTCTCCCCCTTCGTTATTAACGCGAACGAACTTTTCTCGAAGAATCGCAGGATTTCGACCGGGCCGCGGACCCGCGAGCGGGCGCACGAATATCGTACGCGACCATCGAGTGTTTCGGTACGGGCAAGTTTCCCGGGAAATTATGAAGTTCGCGGCACGCGCCGCGCAGTCTCGAAAGACCGGCAATTTCTGGAATTTATTGTAGTTTGTTGCTCGCGCGCCGACGATCCGTGACTAATTGGCAGCGTACCCGGCTCGCCGGCGGGTACCGTTCCCGGGCCGGTGCTGAATGAAAAATACGTGCCTCCTTCGCGGAGGGATCGCGAACTTCGGTAATAAGCAACAAGTTAAAGAACGGCCGCGACACGAAAGCGCGGCCCGCCGAATGAAAAGTGTGAATTCCACTCGGGCCTCGTAATTGCTAAATCTCTCGTCCGAGCCGGCGAAAGGAGCGGAGCGGGGCGGACGGTGACAACAACACGGCCGACTTATCGATCTCCTCCTTCGCATCGACGTCACGCGACCCTAAATTCTATCAAACGCTCCCGAGATCGCGCGTTGCAATCGGCTGAACCCTCGCGTTGTAATTTCTTTCGCGACTGCGCGCGGCAGAGCCGTTTCGTTGTCGGTTATCCGGTGGAAAGAGGGACAACGGCGCGCTCGTTCGGTGTGTATATTTACTCCGAAGCGTAGCGACTATACCGGGAGAACGGTGCGAATAATTAATGATAGCGTAATCGCTATGGATAACATTCTAGTGATATTAATATTTAACTTGAAACAATCGACTGACATTCACATCTGTTACGCTCCGCTTGAAATCTTCGCCACCGGGCTGACACGGTATTGCGCGAGTCAAGGGGTTAAGCCTGTTACAGCGGATGCCGACTCGCGCAAACGAGCGGTTCGGCGAACAAACAACCGAAGATCGTTGTGCTCGCCCGCTCTGGAATTCGTATGCATATTCGATCGCTTCGACGCACAGTGTTCATCGGCCCGTTCGAATTTGCACGCGCTGCAACCGCATCTTAATTCCCCCCGCCTCGCGTCGTAAAATAAAACACGCGTTGCAATAAGGGTACGGTCACGGTGTGTTTGTAATAAAAATGAAATATGGATCGATCCCGGGTACCTGTGTTCAACAAGCGGCCGATTACGCGCCGACGACGTTTTTAACCGACACCCTTGTGTTTCTTCCCATTTGCATAAATACGCCGAGCGTTATCGGATCGAGCGTCAACGGTAAATCCGACGGTGCACCGACGATGATCGAGCCTTCGGTTATTTCAAGCCGACGTCGTGATTTCGGATGCGAGGTTCGGAACATCTGGCCGACCACTGGCTCTCGCGCGCCCTACGGCGTTAGCGCCTGCACTCGTCGGGATGGAATCGTTTCGGAACCCTCTCATCGAATCCTTAATTGCGCGTCGCGCGTTAACTCGTCTGCTGACGCGTTGATAATCGTAACCGATGTTTGAGCGAATCCTTTGAAAACAGAATAAGAAGCTTGCGGTCAAGCTGTTTCTAAATTTCTCTATGGAAACTGGAAGATCGCAGCCATCCAAATTTCGATTGATTAATTTCTTTGGTAACTCCTCGGAGAAGCATCGGTTGTCTTTCCGATAATAAACGAAGAATCGAATAACGAGTCGTTTCGAGCCATCTAGTGGGCCCAACGTTAGCAACCCAACGAAATGTTTAATAGCACGTAACACGTAACGTAACATTCGATGACCCTGTGTAACGCGAGGAGCGCGATACGGAATCATTAATAATTAATTCCGATACCATTTATCTCTGCTACGAAAGAAAAAGTGGGTAATATATAAAGCGCTCGAAAGTTCGTGGCAGTCAACGTGTTAATCACCGTGCGACGATCTAAACCGGCCGTCTAGCCGTCGGCCGTACTTAACAGCGCGGCGCAACGTTTTCGTATCGACCGCGTAAATTTCTTCGCGGGCCATTTAATTCCAGGCTGTACGCCGCGCCTATTCCGCGGGATCGATACCTCACCGACGCGTGCCTCGACGTTTATCCTACGGCTGGTCGCCGTTCCCGAAAATTCGTCGAGAACGTCACCGGCCTCGACGCGGGCCGCGCGCGGGGTCACTTAATCGCGAGAACCGCGTGGCAGATCGATCCTCGTGAATATTTCAATGCCAGAACCTCGCGGTGCCGCGGCGGCCGCCGGAAATCCACGGGAAAGCTATTTCAGAGTATTTCCCAAGGACCGCCGGCGGATCTCGCGCGATCGCGTTTTCCGTTTATTTTTCACGTGTTTCTCGTCTCCCCTTTTTCCCCCGGCGAGCGTCGTCGAGCACACCGTCGCGTGGTCGAGAAAAACCACGTCAGCGTTCGCACGTGTATGCAAACACGCGAGCCGGTGGTTAGCTGCTCCGAATTTTGCTACAATCGTCCGCACGTATACATGTCAACGCGCGCGAGCACACGTACACGTACAGAGTCGAAAACCGTGCACGCGACGACGCGTTGGAAATTATTCCCGTCCGATTGTAGATTACTCATACCACTCCGAGAGCAGCCCCAGCGATCGACGTGCCCCGAGATCCGGCTCGAAGGAAGATACCAACGATACCCGGGAGATAGCGTAAAATTGTCCTACCTGATCGTGTCGCGTTCCGGCGATCCCGCACGTAGATCCATCGCGTTATCCTCGACGGCGGAGGATCGCGTGTTCGTCGCGTCGAAATCCGAGAAATCCATGGCGATAGGCGGCAGCTAGGAATCCCTGGTGTCGTCACTGTAAATCAACGGTAACGCACTATATCAACATTGCACAGCGAGGCACAGGCTCGGCGGTGAAACGGGTCGCCGGCTCGAGCGGACGTCGAAGGTTATCATCCCGCGACAGAGATAGGACGGGGGACACGGTCACTGTCCGGCGCCGTCTTCAAGTTGCACAGAAACGGCGCGACCGTCGGCCACGGGAACTGTCACGCGTGCACCAGCGCATAAACGGAGAAAGTAGCACGGGGTAGCTTCGCCCCGGGCGCACAGCACTCACTGCCGACGAAGATGCGTGCACTGTTCGCGTCTCGCGGTGCGCCGCTTCGCCGCGGGGTAATCCATCCGGCGGGTAGCGAAAAGGGCGGGCGGGCCTTTTATCCACTATCACTGGGACAACGACCGCATCGCACCGCGATCGAGGGGGATCGAGCACTGTCTCGCCGACGGTCGGCCGAGGACGCGCGACGCGCGACGCACGAGGCACGCAGCCGTCAGGAGGAGACGAGCGAGAGGACGTCGAGCAGCCTCGACGATCTTCCTCGTCCGTCAGCGTGCAGCATCACGGCATCCGGGGAACGGTGGTCGCGCACTCGCGTGTTACCAAACCGACCGACTGATCGACCGACCGACCGACCGACCGACGGTCCACTGGAACCCAACCACTGGCTGGACGCGACCGCGGGACGAGCGGTGCACGGGCGTGCGGTCACAGCGGAAGCCTACCCGGCGAAAAAAAACAAAGTTCCTCCCCCGTGTGGTCGTTCGGTTCGATTGTTTTTCGGAGCGGACGTCGAACTGGCGAGGGACAGAAACGCGGGTCACCCGACATCCGACTCGCGCGAGGGTTGATACGAAACTACTGGCGAGTTCTCGGTCGAGCGTACTTGCATCCCCACCACCGGCAGCGCGGAGCCTCCCCACCGGCGCGCTCTCGCGTAGGGCACACGCGCCCCTTCCCCCTCCCTCTAATGGGCACGCACCGAGCTACCCGGAGCGTGACACACGCTCACGCTTCTGGTGGGGGCTCCGGTCGCGTGGCGGGTTGCCCGAGCGGTGGGGAGACCGGCCGGGTGAACGGGGGGCCTTCGGGAACCCGAACGAAAGGGAAGCGAGACGACCGGCCGGGTAACGAGCGAGAGAGCGCCGAGCCGCGGCGGAGGAACCGGGAGGAACCAGGAGGAAGCAGGAGGGACCGGGACCGACCGGGAGAAAGCGGGAGGGAGACGGAATGCGACTCCGACGGGCTCGCGCAGGCGCCGTCCTCTCATGCGGGAATGTACCCTCGTGAAACGTCGGGTAAGCACGGATCCCTTTACGCGCGTACACGTACGGCACGGACGGGATAACGAAGGCCGTAGGTGCAGGGACCTCCGGGGCCGCTTCCACGCGCGCCACCGGTGTAAACGCGGCCCTACTACGCGGTACGTGCGATTCATTTGGAGGTTACGCTCCGGCTAACGATCCCTCCTTTCCATCTTTCTTCCCTTGCCGGCCCCGCGTTCGCCGACCCCGTCGGGATTTTCGAATGACCCGCCCCGCGCGTCTAGAGTCGCCGCGTTCGATCCGCGCGCGCGTCGCGGCTCGTTCGAGCGCGACGTTAACGAGCCTCGCAGCTCGGAGAGGATGAGTCGCGCGGCCCGTCTGCCCGGCCGTCTCGCTGCGTTGTCGAGAAATATCAAACAGGCCGGGGCAGACGTTTGCTCGTATAATAGCGCAGCCTTGAGCGCGATATGTCTTCAGAGCTTAGGTTTCGCTCTGCCGAAGGGTAAACGTTTACCATCGGCAAATATTTGCCCGCGTTCGCGGCGGGGGGATACTTGCCCGCTTCCTTCGACCCCTCCCCCGTCCTCTCCTGCCCCTCTCCGGCCCGGAGTCCTGCTCGCTGCACCCCGGATACCCCCAAGAACGCGTCCGACCCCCGCGGGAGGTCTCGTCATGAAATTTTGAATGCGTTCGGAAACCGTTTGCCGGAGAGTTCGCGCACCGCGGAATCGGCACGCGCACGCGCCGCTCGATCCTGCGGCATGCGTTCTCTACGCGGGGAACGTATACCCGGTGTTCCTCGGCAGACCCTGCATCCAGCGCGGATCTAATTGGACAGCTTCCGTCTCTTTCGCGGTATTCATTTGCCATTCGTCGATGCGGTTGCCGGCAACCGATGCGAGCTATGGTCGGAACGCGGCGACTTCTCTCGCGCTCCGAGCTGTAGGTGAACGCGTGTGCGGAGAAACGTCCACAAGGACGCGAGAGGCGGCGCGAGAGGACGTCGCCGATGGGAGACTCTCCGGCGACAACGACGTGGATGATAACGAGAGTTACGCCGGCGTAACGCGCTGTCTGGAGGGAATATTGCCTCGTAACCGGGAACTAGACGACGTTGAATATTTCACGTTCGTGCGCGGCGGGGAAGACGGACTTCCATGGGCGACGGGTACGTCCCGCGTTTGGACAGCGCCGGAATCGTTGCTCCGAAAATCTCCTTTCGCGGAATTACGACGTCCGACTGTTTTATAAAGATTTCAGTTTTCATTTAACGTCTCTCCGCGAAGGGACGAAGGAACTCCGTCGCGGAGGGGAGAGGGACGACGTCGCGAATGGGACAATCCGTCGAGGAAGCTGATGGAACGGGGTACTTTGTAGGGAAGAATAAAGGTACGCTTCCATAGAGCTGTACTCGATGAGAGCAAGGCATGGAACTTCGAGCTTTTGTTCTGCAACGAAAATTTTCATGTCGAAGCAAAGCGCAACAGTGGATCTAGTAATTGGTAAACGATGCCGACAATGCTACTCGCAACGTGGACTCGTGCCCTTCGTTCCCATTGGAACTTCAATGTGGACGTACCCCAGGCTTTCCGATCGCGGCGATCGATCGCGTGCTTTCTGCGCGTGCATAGAAAATCGTGCGTCCAGTCGGAGAGACGTTTACGATTGGCTGGATGGAGGAGTGTGAATAAAAGAGAGGCCAAGCCGGGATCGGATCCGTTTAATTCGGGCTGGAAAGTGACCGGAGCGAAAACTGGAGGAGATTTCAGAGCGAACCGCGCAGTGACATTCCGTTCGACATGGCCAACAGTGATAACGAGGAACGGTAGCGGCGAGGTTACGTGCTTCCTCGGGAGGATATTAATCCGTAATGATGCACTCAGCCAGCTGGATCTTCCAAGTTTGAGCATCGTGATGTAGACAGAGAGATATCGGAACTAAGGAGCAGAGCGACTGGGGAACTGAACTTGCAACGCTTCGAGGACGGCTTCCGCCGCGTTCGACGGCAGCCAACTTTAATTGAAATTAATCCTCATGAATATCATCGACATTTCCGATCGACTGTCAATGGACTGGCTGATTTTTTCTTCGGATATTACTCGCTGAACGGGCGACAATCATTTAGAACATTCTATCAAAGTGGGACGTAGAGATTAATATAGATGCAGAGATTAATCCGTGACGATGGCAGGTCTGCCATTGGCTGTTTTAATCTTCCGATTTCAATCTATTATGCACGGTACTTGAAAGACGCTTCAGACGTCTGCTTCTGGAACAGATTGATCCTATTACATATTTACGGACGATAATTAAAGGAAGAACGAAGCATACGGTAAGGCATAAATACACGGGAAACCCGCGAGTGACAATCATCGAACGCCGAAATCGCCCGCGGACAAAGCTCCAAGTTCCACCGTTCCAGAATTACACAAAGCAAACTCGATTGTTTCGTAAGCTTCCGGTTATAACAATTTACCAACGGATCCGCGAATCAATGTTCGCACAATGTTCCCCGTTAATTTGAACGGAGCGCGCGCCGTCTGCGAGCGAAGAGGAGGCAGCCAGGCACGAGCGGAGCGTTTCAACCGTGACAGTCACCCGAGGATCGCTCGCGACCGCGTAAAATTATTTCCCCCGCCTCTTTTTACCGTTCATTTTCCCCCGGAACCTGGGAGCAGGAAGTGATTTCCCTCCTCTATTTTCGTAAGAGGGTAACGACGCCTGCGCGACCGACTCCTGCGGGATCGTAAAAATGTATAGGATAAAGGAAGACGTGCCGCGAGGGGTGAGGTTGAGTCGCAGCCAGCCTCCCCGCCGGCAGGGCGCTCCCCGTTCTCCCCGGAACGCTAAGAAGCGTCGGCTCTCGGGGACAAGAGACACTCCCGCTGGAGTTCTCCCAGCCGGCAAATCCTCGGACACGGGATTAAGCGGAGCTGCGGCTTAATTGATTTTCTAATGTACCGTATTAATGGATTGATCAGCGGCGGCGACCTCGATGCTCGTCGTTGTCACGCGTCCGACCGGCACCGGATATCGACTACGGCCCGCCCCTCCGCAGCCCCTATCGAGATTCGACCGGGTAGCTATCGCTTTCAGCGCCGCGGAGCCGATGAACCACGACGAAACGACGAGTAATTACCCGAAAGTAACGGCGTCGCGCCACGATCACTGTTAGCTTAATAGAGACGCGCCTCTTTCTAATCTCGCTTAATGTCCTCGACCGAGAGAGGACCGAGCTCCGCGCACCGCTCGGAAGAGCGTTGGGAAAATTCGAGTTAACGCCGCCTGGCGAGGCATCCGACAACGTTCCTCACCCTTTCACCGCTTCCACCCTCGCCCGATATATCTTAACCCATTTTGTCGTAGAGTTTCTTTGGAAAAATTTGAAAAAAATCGTTTCTCGTCGACATCCTTGAAGAATAACGTATAGATTTTCGGAGAATTACGATTTAGGAATGGGTTCGACTCATTTGGTGGTTCCAGCGTTGATAAATGTACGTACTTTTACGAATGTAACGGGAACGTGTCCTCGTCGAAGAAAGTACTGCTAGTAAAATGGAGCAAAATGGGTTAACGTTCTTCGCCCGCGAATATCGGGAAAATCACTCCTCTTCCGTCATTTCAACCCCGACCACCTTCCCCGAGTTTCGAATCCGAGCGAGCGCGCGCGCAAGCGAGAATCCTCCCGAGGAACTTGCCCACTTTCCTCGAGAAATCATGTTGTCTCCCGGAAAAATATCGCGGATTCAGCCGGCGCCGGGTCCCCCTTAAATATTACAGGAACTTCGAGCGACAACGTTCCTCCGAGTTAATGGTAGCTCCGCGACGCCCGAACGTTTGGTACAGTTTAAATTTTCAAACTGCTTATTGTCCGCGACGACTCACCTCGGTTCCCGATGTTTTCCTCGGGAACTGTTTCCTCGAGCACCTTCGGTGGCTGTTCGTTCTCGTTCCTCCGCGACGCGGCCGAAGTGGCCCGCGGCCGCGAGAAACGGTCCCATTCGAGGCGATCGTTACCGGGATCGTTCCGAGCGATCCCTCGCGTCGACCGCCTTGAAATCGCGGAGTGGTCGAATTGCTCGATCTAGATGGACAAGAATGAGAAATCTGACCCTCCGCGATCGTAAAAACGGGGCGGTTTGCTCGCGGTAACTGGGACGTACGAGTACCGACCATGTTTTCTCGGGGAAACGTAGAAGGCGAGCAGTGTTTGATGTGGAGCGAACGATAGAAAATGTACGGAACAAAAAATTCTGCGACAGAAATGTTGTCACTATGTCCAACGGATTATCGTCAAAGGAGTTTGGTCGGTGCGAATAAATCGGATCGACCAACGCGGCGTCGACTCGACGATCACCGACCTCTTCGATCGATCCCTCGGTCGACGCGTTTAAGATTGACTCGCGATTGCTCGCGACAGCGTTGCGTGGATCGGCGTGAAAAAATAATGGCGCTCAGCGGCCGCGTGCCGCTCACGTTGAATGCTCGCCGCCGATAACGTATCTGAGAGGCATCGTGATTGATGAGCAATATGCTCGAACGTGACGACGCAACGCCGAGAGAACGACCCGGAATCAGTTT